AGAGAGAGAGAGAGAGAGAGAGAGAGAGAGAGAGAGAGAGAGAGAGAGAGAGTGGTGTAGTTGAGAATTGAGAGTAAGCTTTGGTCTTAACACATAGGCGCCTGTTTACTGTTTGTTTGACGAATGGAACCTTCCTATGTTCTAACACTTGCCCTCAATATCAGGGCGCTAAATAGTTTGGTTTGGTAACTTTTCGTTAATATACATATTTTATACCAAGTGAAACAAAATAGTTCTCCTAATACCCTTTTAGTCCTGATTTATTTGATATATTATGCCTATATATATGGACAGTTAATCTGACTAATTCTTTAACTAAATCAAAAAAAGTTATGAAACTTTAAATAATCAACTCTAATCTGGTTAATTTTACCTATAAATCATTAACTAGACTGTTTGATTTCAAGAAACAGGTCAATGGAAATAATTTTTTTTTCTCATTTGTCTTAAAGAATTTGACGACGGTGAAAAACTAGACTTTGTCTTAAAACAGAATTAAAACTGGATGTTGAATATTTTCACGTATAATTTGTTTATTGACATGCATGCTGGCATTTTCCTAATGTGTTATCACACTTTATTACTCTTTCCATAGACGGATCCCGTGAGAGTTACGGATTCAATTGAATTCAAAATTTTCTATGCGGAGTAGAAATTTATGTGTAAAAATTCATTAAAATTACAAAAATAATAGATTTGAACTCATAACTTTAAATATATAATGGATTCAATGTTAGAAATCTTAAAAATAGAACTCATATAATTTAAATCTTGGATCCGCCTCTGACTCTTTCAGTTATGTTATTATCATGAAATTCTTTCGCATATTTAGCATAAAGGTTGTGTGACTCATTGTTTACTTATTCTTTATATATATTATACAATAGACATGAATTAAATGTGACAACGTATATTTAGCTTATAACTTGAAAAAATGTTGCATTTCTCAGTAAATTTATCAAGTCTGAAATTACTACCAATATTTGATGACCATCAAAGACAATTTGATTGCCTTTTTTCCATCACAAAATCACAATTGGACTACCAATTGACTTAGTAGTTTGCGTTCATAAGCGCTAATGTTTTCTGAATAAACCTCACGAAGGTCGAATTTACATCCATCTTAATTTTTGTAAAATATATAGACGTGTCAAACCAATTTTTGACACACCAACTCAAAAAATAATTACTAAATAATTTTAAATTCCAATTGAAGCTTCAAATGGATCTTTAATGATAGTTCTCCACAAAATAAAGATAGAAGTTAATTAGTCAAACGAGTTTTTGACGTAAGAAAACAAAAATGGAGAAGAAGTTGATGAAGTCATGGGAGTTGCGCTTGAAAAATATGAGAGAAGATAAAAAGAAAGAGAAGAACTTTAAAATTCTTAGTCTTGTGAGTTTTCTTTAAAGTTGTATGTAATATGCTAAAATTTTATTGTTGTTTACCCGTAAAACGGTACATCTTTATGAACGTTATCTCTTTCGGTGACAAACGGAATGATTGTGTTTGGTTTTCGGTCATCCTCGTCTAGGATTTCACGTGTCTTTCCTTTAGATGACTATGTATCATATCATATTTCACTCTATACAATTGTTATCTTTTGAATTTAAAGTATAGTGCATTATTCTAAGTATGAGTTTTATTTCGTATATTTCTTAAAATTTTCCAACTTTTATTTGTAAAAGAGAATGAGAATACAACTCACAATAGTGTTTATTAGGGTGGTAATATATGATTAACCTAGAATACTATAGAATGTAGTATTCCATAAAAGTAAAAATTAACTATAAATATACTGGATACTAAAAATGAGGAGTCACGAATCTCTTTTATGATTTCTTTATAAAGGAAAAACCCAGTAACTAAATGCATAATTGAGGAGTTATTATGACATCTTACAAGCAAATTCAATTAAATGAAAATGAACTGTAGATTTGGTGAATGCCCCTCCTTTTTCTAGTTTTTTCTTGTCTAAAATATCTCAACTTCAACTTCAACTTCCTCAATATTTTAAAATTATTATTTAGTTGTCTTTGTCAGGAGTCTTTTTTGGTGGGAAAAAGGGCATGCGGGCCAGGAGGAGTCCTTTGTTTGTTCGTTTGTTTGTTAATGAGAATAAAAAATAAAAAAATAATATTGTATAGCCGTTTGTTTTTAGTATTGTATATTATTTTGTGTATATATATATATGTTATATATGAAAAATATATAAATATTATATACTTTTACGGTTATCGAATATAAATAGTTTCGACGGCGGGCTAAAATTGATCTTTGCCGAAGAAAATTTGTCCTAATAATTTAAAATTATTTTGAGGAAAAAGAATTTTAATACTGTGAGCTAATTTGGATGTCCTATTTGTGCCTTGTTGTTCATGTGTTGCTAGAATCAAATAAAGACATGAAAAGAGCAACCTAATTAAATTAAATAAATTTCCTCCAGTAGTTCTTCATTTTCTTGGAGCATTGCTGACCAAAATCAGACAATATAAAATGTGCCTGCAAAAAGTTCACCAAATCTATTTGCAATCAACCCCCTTTTTCTTTTTCTAATAACACACGAGGAACCATTATTGTGATGATGTAACATTTTCACTAGTATAGATTAAAATTTTAAATTTTTTAATGGGATTAACTCTGTAAACTGTAATCATGTAAGTGAAGCTCATACGGCAAACACTTGATCAAGTAAATTAAATCTAACATTTAAGAGAATGAAATGTTTGACATTTTAGCAAATGTTCACTTATCGGGGACGAAGCTAAGGGTAAAAGAGATTTATCTGAACACCTTTTTGCGAAAAAATTATAATATATATATATGATCAAATTTTTTTTATGTGTATATATATTTATTAAACGTTGATCCCTTAACTTCTTCGTGTTTACTTTTTTTAATTATTTTTGTAACTTTATTTATTTATTCCTATTTTTACAAACTGTGGCATCAAGAAGTACTAGTGCACTTACGAGTTATAGCAACAAGGGAATTTTCAAACATAACTTTAATGCCAAGTCTACATCAAATCAATTTTTGGCACCTATAGATGGAGAAACACCTATCTTCTTGAATAACATAGCCCTTCTTTATATCTTTTGAGAAGACTTTTCAATGTAGACAAAATCAATTAACCTTATGTGTTATTATTATATTATTTTTTGTCTCAAATTTTAGGTCCGAAATTACCGCTTGGTAAGATTGTATACGGGTGAAACCGGACCCATAAGCCGGCCCGGTTTCCGATAAAATAAATCGAGTAAGGAACGCGACGACAAGGAATCGGGATCAAGGTAAGGGACTCGTCAAGTCAGGCACCGAAGCACGACGCCCGCTCGAGTATATCGAGGCCATGACCCCGGGATCAGTCCAAATCGGATATCATGGCGCAGATCTCGGCACGTATCGACGGAAATTCAGTAATTAGTTAAATGGAAGATTTTTACCTTTTATGGAATTGTACATATAGTGGGATTCCCCTACTATATAAAGAGGGTCTGACTATTCATTGAACACATTGTAACACGCATCCCAAAGCAATATACTATTATTTTCACTGTTATTCATAGCTCTTATTCTCGTTCACCAGTGTTAGCCATTGTGAATCCGGATCGAGAGTGAAAATTTTATCAAGGCTGGAATTATCATGCTCGCGTAGTTTGAATTTACTATATCTTTATTTGTTTAGTCTAACGCGATTTATCGTTTGTATTGAATTAATCCATGTATCCTTAAAATCACTTACAAATTTAATTGTTATCCTGAAATTATCATGCTCGCGTAGTTTGAATTTACTATATCTTTATTTGTTTAGTCTAACGCGATTTATCGTTTGTATTGAATTAATCCATGTATCCTTAAAATCACTTACAAATTTAATTGTTATCCTGAAATTATCATGCTCGCGTAGTTTGAATTTACTATATCTTTATTTGTTTAGTCTAACGCGATTTATCGTTTGTATTGAATTAATCCATGTATCCTTAAAATCACTTACAAATTTAATTGTTATCCTGAAATTATCATGCTCGCGTAGTTTGAATTTACTATATCTTTATTTGTTTAGTCTAACGCGATTTATCGTTTGTATTGAATTAATCCATGTATCCTTAAAACCACTTACAAATTTAATTGTTATCCATTTTTTAGGGTAAATAATTTGGCGCCCACCGTGGGCTAAGGATAATAGTGGCAATTTGATATAAATTTTCATAACGCACCCTATTTTACACTTGTTCTTTGAAGTGTCTTTAATTACAGGGCAAAATTCAAAATGTCGAACTCACAATCTGCACCTTTAAATGTGGATGATGAGTCCGGTCACCACGGCGAGAACAACAATATGGTACCCAGTAACGAGGTGTCGTATGTCGATCCCAGCGGAGTTTTGGTCGCGGACCTGATCGACACTAACTCACACGTGACCATCAATGCAAACCTGCCTACCGATCCTGAGAACAGCGTCCGCGGGGGAGTCTGATCGGCAGCCCAAAATACACCCGACGGTGAAGGAGATAAGATCAACTTGCGAGTGATATTCGAAATGCTACATGCCAACAGGCAGCGATAATCCAGCTGCAGAACCAAAGTCATGCCCTCAGCAAAGTTGAGCTCGACCCGTCCCGAGAAATCACTCGCAGAAATGAACAAATCACGGAGAGGCCGAGTGAAGTTGAACTCAGGACTAACCCCGAAATCATAAAAATGCCCGAGGAACTAACAAAGCGGGTAGAATCGGGAGAGAAAAAATTGAACCCAATGACAAAAAGGTGGAAACCTACAACTCCAGGGTCGACCAAATCTCAGGAGCGCCACCGATATTGAAAGGTCTAGATTCCAAAAAGTTTGTTCAGAAACCTTTCCTTCCGAGCGCAGCTCCGAAGCCGATCCCAAAGAAGTTTCG